GGGCCAAGGGGGAAATGCCGGCCTTGCTAGACTCTGGGTGCACAAGATGTGTGATCAGCCCAGAAGTAGTACAGAAGATGGGCTTAAAACTAAAACCTTTAAAAACGCCCATAGCTTTTTGCCAATTGGATGGATCAGTCGTGGGGGGCGGTCCTGCACATTTCATAACGGAACCCATAAAAATGACAATGGGGAAGCATAGTGAGACTTTGTGTTTTATTGTGGCCCCTGGGATGGAACAGCCACTAATACTGGGATTCCCCTGGCTCCAGAAATGGAACCCCCACATCAATTGGAGAAGAGGGTCATTACCACCACCACACTTCCATGTAGAAAACAGACTCACACCCACTCAGAAGGTGAGACACGACCATGGACCAGAAGCTACACTGCAGCTGCATCACTGCCCACTTCAAACCCCTCCGAGCCGTACATGAAGCAGGCTGACACACACTATGGAGATGCAGCGCGACCACGAACTCGAAGCCGGGCAGCAGGAAATCCAGCCAATCAGAACACAGCCAACCCACCAACCAATCAAAACACAGCCAAGTCCCCTACCAATGAGAAGACACCCCCACCCAATCAGAACACAGCCAAGCCCCCACCCAATCAAGTCCCACCCCCACTGGCAGTTGGAAGGAAGAAGCAGCTGCAATCTCACATCACTCCAAGAAGCAAGAGCCGAAGACAGAGGCCTGATGATGATGAATGAGACTTCATCGAAACGTTGCCTAGATACTTTGAATCTTACGCGGGAGAAAACCCGAACAACCAAAGATCCACATACAAATACCCGCGAGAACCTCAGAAAATATATATATATATATATATATATAAATTACTTTTTTATTAAGGCACTGTGAATTAGTATTACTAATATTATAAATAACTGTCAAGTATGTATGTACTGTACTTATTGTACTATCAAGAAAATAGTATTTCAAAAGGTATTTCTATTATATAACTTTTTTGTAAACTTTTTAATATTTTGAATTTTGGAAAATTTTTAATATTTTTAATTTCAATAAGAATTTTTTTAAAATCTTTAAAAAAGATGATGATGCATACATTAACAGTATCCCATACATTTTGTAATGAAGTATCTTCTTTTCTGTTCTCTTTTTTTAAAAAGTCCAATTCTTTCTCCATAAACTTTATATACACTGCTCAAAAAAATAAAGGGAACACAAAAATAAGACATCCTAGATCAGAATGAATGAGATATTCTTATTAAATACTTTGTTCATTACATAGTTGAATGTGCTGACAACAAAATCACACAAAAATTATCAATGGAAATCAAATTTAGCAACCCATGTAGGTCTGGATTTGGAGTTACATTCAAAATTAAAGTGGAAAAAAACACTACAGGCTGATCCAACTGTGATGTAATGTCCTTAAAACAAGTCAAAATGAGGCTCAGTAGTGTGTGTGGCCTCCATGTGCCTCCCTACAACGCCTGGGTATGCTCCTGATGAGATGGTGGAAGATCTCCTGAGGGATCTCCTCCCACACCTGGACTAAAGCATCCCCCAACTCCTCAACAGTCTGTGGTGCAACGTGGCGTTGGTGGATGGAGCGAGACATTATGTCCTAGATGTGCTCAATTGGATTCAGGTCTGGGGAATGGGCGGGCCAGTTCATAGCATCAATGCCTTCGTCTTGCAGGAACTGCTGACACACTCCAGCCACATGAGGTCTAGCATTGTCGTGCATTAGAAGGAACACAGGGCCAATCGCACCAGCATATGGTCTCACAAGGGGTCTGAGGATCTCATCTCGGTACCTAATGGCAGTCAGGCTACCTCTGGCAAGCACATGGAGGGCTGTGCGGCCCCCTAAAGAAATGCCACCTCACACCATTACTGACCCACTGCCAAACTGGTCATACTGGAGGATGTTGCAGGCAGCAGAACATTCTCCACGGTGTCTCCAGACCCTGTCACATCTGTCACATGTGCTCAGTGTGAACCTGCTTTCATCTGTGAAGAGCACAGGGCGTCAGTGGCAAATTTGCCAATCTTGGTGTTCTCTGGCAAATGCCAAACGTCCTGCACGGTATTGGGCTGTAAGCACAACTCCCACCTGTGGAGGTCGGACCCTCATACCACCCTCATGGAGTTTGTTGCTGACCATTTGAGCAGCCACATGTACATTTGTGGCCCGCTGGAGGTCATTTTGCAGGGCTCTGGCAGTGCTCCTCCTGTCCCTCCTTGCACAAAGGCAGAGGTAGCGGTCCTGATGCTGGGTTGTTGCCCTCCTACGGCCTCCTCCACGTCTCCTGATGTACTGGCCTGTCTCCTGGTAGCGCCTCCATGCTCTGGGTACTACTCTGACAGACACAGTAAACCTTCTTGCCACAGCTCGCATTGATGTGCCATTCTGGATGAGCTGCACTACCTGAGCCACTTGTGTGGGTTGTAGAGTCCATTCATGCTACCACTAGAGTGAAAGCACCACCAGCATTCAAAAGTGACCAAACCATCAGCCAGAAAGCATAGGAACTGAGAAGTGGTTTGTGGTCATCACCTGCAGAACCACTCCTTTACTGGGGATGTCTTGCTAACTGCCTATGCTTTCCACCTGTTGTCTATTCCATTTGCACAACAGCATGTGAAATTGATTGTCAATCAGTGTTGCTACCTAAGTGGACAGTTTGATTTCACAGAAGTGTGATTGACTTGGAGTTACATTGTGTTGTTTAAATGTTCCCTTTATTTTTTTGAGCAGTGTATATAACTGTTATCAGGTTATGGTCTGCCCAAGTACCTATTTCAATTATCTCTTTTATTTTAGGGTTAGAGTTAGGGTTAGGGTACTATTGATAGCCACATCAAATCTATTCTGGACCATGACACATCTATGTGAATAAAATGAGTATTGACTTTTCTCAGGATCTCTCTCCATATATCCTGGATGTTTAATTCTTCCGCTATTCTAAAGAAGGGAGTGTTTTCCTCACTTTTGTATTTATATTTCTAGTTTTATAATCCAATTCTGGGTCCACAATTGCATTACAATCACCTAATATATATATATATATATATATGTTATGTCCCACCTTCCAAAATAAACAGATAAGGCTGAAAGCAGCAGTCCTCGCAAATAAAGGCAGCAAACAGGAATCTTCACTGATAACAGCTGTAGATAGCCTCCACAAGATAGTCCAAGTTAATAGTTCCAACGAAATAAATCCAAGTCCCAACAAGATATTTCAGGTTTAAATCCTCCAAGCCAAAATCTTCGGTTCTCCTTGCAAACAAACACTTTGTTCCGGACAAAGTGCAAAGTCATCTCTCTCCCTTTATAGAGCAGCAGCTAATTAGTCTAATTACTGATCTGCCCTCCTCCTGTGCTCCCGTTGGTTTCTTCTCGTAAGGAGACGCCTGCTTCTGACATCCACCCAGCAATCATCTAAATTATTATCTTCACCTGAAGTCTCCATAAGTTCCTCATTGTCAGCCGTTCCCGGCTGATAACCTGATTGAGAAGCAGAGGAGGTTGAAGGTTCAGGCCGGTCCTGCAAATCAAATGTGTCCTCCCTTGTAACATTCGTCTCCTCCTCTTCATTGAAATCACTAAAACTTGCTGATTCATACAAGTCCTCCTCGCTGGAGCTTTCATTCAAAAAACCTGTAGCTGATGCTGGAATCACAACATACATACATATACATATACATATACATATACATATACATATATATATATATATATATATATATATATAGTGAATTCCAATTCTATTATCTTCTTATGTAATTATGTAGTAAAAAGCCTCTTGGTTACAATTTATCACATATACCACTACTAGAAATACCTGTTGTCATTTATTATCTCCACCACCAGGAACCTCCCCTCCTCATCTGTAAAAATTTGTTTAGAATTTATAGTCTCTTTTATGTACAGTGCTACTCTTCTACTTTGTTGTGCAAGGGAGGCATGTATCTTCCCAATTTTAGGGTATTCCAGTACCTTATTGTATTGCTTTTTAATATGCACTTCTTGTAAGCAAATTATGTCCAATTTTATTTTTTCTAGTTTATTAAAGGTTCCTTTTTATTGTGGAGTTCAGTCCATTTATATTTATTGACATTAACTTTATTTCTTCTTCCGTTTTCACTTGTACATAGGTTTCGCCTCTCTGGTTGTCCTCTTTTGTCTCTTTTGCCTTTTCTTCTTCTCTTATGGCTATTGCTTCCCAATCTTTTTCCTTTTCTTTTTGTCATGTATCTTTCACCCAGCCCCTTCCTAGTATCTTTCCTCTCACACTCCCTTCTTCCTTTTGTGGTCCAAAATAGTGACCATAGAATTCCTCCTCCTTCTCTTTTGAGTCTAATCTATATCTCTTTTCCTGCCAAGTAACCAGTATCAGCCATCTAAAATGTCCCCCTCTTTTAATTTGTTTTGTCAAGAACTCTTAGGTCTGACTCTCCTCAATATTTGTTTTAGGGCCACTATTTCTTTCCCTTTATACTTTAGAGGGTCATCTCTCACTTTCTGCATTATCTGTTTTTATTGCTTTCTTAGTAAATCTCACATGGACCTCTTTGGGGAGCTTGTTTCTCATCGCATCTCTAGTGTATCTCTATTTCTGCCATACTTTTTTCTTTCTCTAAAGCCCCTGCCAATAGTTCTGCCATTATCTCCACGAGGTTCTCTCCCTTTTCTTCCATATTTTGGAATCTCAGATATTAGTCTGCTCAATCCATCTCCAATGTTATTATTCATCTCTCTTTGCTTCTATCTGCCAATGACAATCTATAATCAAGTTCTCCCACCCTTTTTTCTGTTGTCAGCTTTCTCCTCTACTTTTTGTATACATTTTGTATACTTTTTGTATACCTAGTAAAACCACTTTTTGCAATTGGCTGATGGTGAATTTGTCAATGCAAATGATGTTCAAGCAGTGCTTCAGTTGTTTTGGGATTGCCTATTACAACTCATTCATTTTTGTTATCTTCTCCAATTCTTTCTCTTCTGTCTCCAGGCACTGCCACATCCAGACATTTTTGTATTTCTTATCCACAATTGTTAAGTCTGGGATGTTATGTGGCAGGCGCCTGTCTGTTTGGATTCTAAATTCCCAGAACAATTTAACTTCTTCATTTTCTATGACTGTTTCTTTTTTATGGTCCCACCAGTTCTTGCTTGCAGGCAAATGGTTGCAGCTTCTAATTTCTTGCAGCTTCTACTTTGTCATTGTCTGTGATCAATCTGTGCAATCTTACAGCAGCTAACCTGGAGATCAACTATTTCTTCTGCTTCTTTGCTTAGTGGCATTTGCTATCTGTTACCGCCTTCTCAATTCTTGTTTTGTTTTTAAATCTTAGTCTTGTGCAGCCAGCATTAGCCATTTGGCCTGTTTGTTCAACTTTCCTGACCTTAGCCATTGCCAGGTCTTGCTATTTTTCTAATGTACTACTTTTTCTTATGCTTTGTCTTTCCATACTTCCTTTCTGTTCTTCATTTGGTCTTTCTTGTAGGCAGGTTTGGTCTCTCCAGTACTCATTAGGCTTCCTGGTATACTAGCTTCAGTGCATCACTATCTATCAGATATTCTTCCAATGCCCTTTTTTCTTCTTCAACCATCGGATGTACTTGCAACATTCCATAATCACCCATTTTCCTTGGTAAATAGAGTCTGTTAACATTGCTGCATGAATGATGGAGACGGAGCTGACGTCGCAATGATACAGTGTAGCCTCCATAGGCTCTATGAAGATCCACTGAATTCCTTCTGCCAGAGGGTCCCGATGGACATAAGCTACCCTAGAGGGGTGATGAAGAAGAGAGGATACTCCGTAGTACAAGCAGATTATGAACTCCTTGTTTGATCTGGGGGAAAGCTCTCAAATCCAGCAGGAAGAAAAAGACAGCCATTGCATGTCTGACCAAAGCTATGACAGAACAACTGGAGAAGAATGAGAGAAGACTGAGGAGGAGAAGTGTGGTGATGGTGAGATTTTTCCAAGTTCTGCTGAGGAATTTTCCCCTTTAAAAACTGGCCTGAGTGACAGTGGGACTGTAAAAGAAGGGGGTGGATTTGTTCATTTGCCACCCCTAACAATAGCGGCAAACAAGCACAAAACCAAAATAGATCCAGACAAGAAATTTGAACTATTTGAGATACATGAGGAAAGAGGAAAATTGGACTGGTTATTCTAAGGAAATTAATTGGACTTCACCTGAACTAAAACCTTTTTTTGGAATATAAATTTGGACTCTGGAATCCCTAAAAAGGAAAAGATTCAGCTTAAGTTAAAGGAAGTTAAAGGAGAGCAGAAGAAAAATAGCACATGATACTTGCTGGCTGGGAAAAAATAATAGTGAGAGTGAAGTTGAGGTATGATGTTAATGCTGCCTCATTCTTTTTTTTTAATAGTTTTTATTTTTTAAACAAACATACACAAACAAAACATAAAACATAAAACTGTCTTCCAGTTACAGTGTGTTGGTTGGTTACAAGTCTTTTGTGCTTCATCTCCATAGTCCTCACTTATAATTTGTGTAAATTCTCATATTATCCATCATATATATATGTTATGTCTCACCTGTATCCACAGGTGAGCATACAAAGTTCCAGAGTTCAAAATATTTAAACAAGAACAAAACCAGACTTTGAAGAGTTAACAGTACTGTTTTCCAGTCCTTGGCAGTCTTCCCAGAATCTGTCTGGCAACTCAGAATTGTTCATAAATCACAACGGCCGCTTCAAACGTATCCTTTCGAATCCACAAAGCACTACTCACTTTTCACTTTGCTCCAAGCAAAGATTGAGAGTCAGCACGCCTCCTTAAATCTCCTGTATGGGCATGTCAGTCTCTCTAATCAATGTCTGGCTCGACGCCTCCCTTCAGATTGTGATTGACGTTTCAATCTTCTAGTTCTAGCGTCAAGCCAACATCTGTCAGTTTCCTCGTCACTAGAAGCCTCTGGCTCATTTTGTGGATCAGCTGCTGTCATGTACGAAGTCGAAGGTTCTGGAGTGGATTGTCTCTCCAACAATCTCTCATCCTCCTGGCTCACATCTGTGTCCTCTGATAATTCAGACTCCACATTCACAGCAGGCTCAAACCTTCCATCTTCAGAGGCATCAGAGTCAAAACTCCCAGCAGGGTTAATCCTTCCAGTCACTATATATAATTGTTAATCATTTATTTGACTATAACTATTATTCCATCATTTTATGCAAGTTATTCAACATTTTAGATTAATTTATATTATAACATTCCTTACCACATCATAAATCCATCCAATAATAATACATCCAGGTATGAAAATAAGTGCCTTTTTCTTTTCCACATTTCCAACAATTTGGGTCTGAGTTAAACATTTTTGCCAATCTAGCGGGAGGAAGGTGCCATCTGTAGAACATTTTGTTTTGATTTTCCTTGTATGCTGTGGATGTAATTAGTTTGTAATTTGATCCCCACATTCTCTCCCAATTTTCCAGGTCTATATTGTGGCCAACATTTTTTGCCCATACCACCATCGTCTCTTTGACCACCTCCTCTTCCATTTTAAAATCTAGTAGAAAGTTATATATTCTTGAAGTCATTTTCTTTTCCATTTCTTGTAGAATTTTATCTAATTGATGCTTTTCCATGCAGAAACCAAATTGTTCTTTGTCCTTCTGATATCTTGCCTGAATTTGCATGTATGGCATCTATCTTTATATTTTGTTGCTGTAATTCTTGTCTCGTTTTTAATCTTCCTTGTGTGTCTAATAGGTCTTTGTAATTCCTCTTTGTCCCCAGATCCATTGCATTTGGGAAGATTTGTGCTTCCATAGTTGACAACCAGTTCGGTATTTTAGTATAATGATTCTTTTTAATCTTATTCCATGTCCGAATTAATGAATCTCTAATCATGTGTCTCTGAAAATATGCATGCTGTTTACATTTCCCATCCCATAGGAAACTATGCAAGTCGTGACGCTCTATCGACAATACTCTTCTATTTTCCAGGTTGATCCAATCTTTAATCCATAGCATAGCCGCAGCCTGATAATACATTTCCCAGTCAGGGAGTCCAAAGCCACCCCTTTCTCTTTTGTCCTGTAACAATTTCATTTTTATCCTAGCTTTTTTCCCATCCCAAACAAATTTACTTATTATTCGATCTAATTCTCTAAAAAAGGTTTTATCCAATCTTATTAGTACAGTTTGAAAAAGATATAGTATTTTTGGTAGGGTAGACATTTTAATTGCCACAATTTTCCCCAGTAGTGATAGCTGTAATTTCCCCCACATTTCCAATTCTTTTTTGATTTGTATTATTAATTTGTCATAGTTACCTTTTTTGATTGAAGAGCATCTTGCTGTTAACCAAATGCCTAAATATTTTACCTTTTTCATACTTTGCATTCCCAATTTTCCTTCTAATTCTTTTTTTTTGTGCTTATCTTTTAAATTTTTAGTCAATAATTTTGTTTTGTTTTTATTAATTTTAATGCCTGAGACCTTGCCAAATTCCTCTCTTTCCTTTATTAATTTTACTCCTGTATCCTCTGGATCTTCCAGAAAAAATACTATATCATCGGCAAAAGCCTATACCTTATAATGCTCCTTTTTAATTAAAGCCCCTTTGATTTCTACATTTTTCCTAATGTTTTCCAATAAGTTTTCTATGGTAAGAATAAAGAGAAGGGGTGACAGTGGGCATCCCTGCCTTACTCCCTTGTTGATCTTGAATGTTTCTGTTCTGTCACTGTTCATTATTACACTGACCGTCTGTGTCGTATAAATTGTCGAAATCAATTTAATAAATTTATTGCTAAATTGCATGCTTTTTAATTGTTGTATTATGAACTGCCAATTAACATTGTCAAATGCCTTTTGCGCATCAAGGAAGACCATTGCCAAATGTTTTCCTAGGTTTGCTTCATAATATTCTATTATATTCAATACCATTCTGGTATTATGTTTAATTTGTCTATTCGGTAAGAATCCATTTTGGTTGCTTATCTGATTGGTTGGTTTTCTGATTAAGGATTTTTTTTAATCTTTCTGCCATTATGGACATAAATATTTTATAATCAACATTTAAAATGGATATGGGCCTATAATTTTGAATTAATTGATGGTTCGAATCTTCTTTTGGGATCAATGTTATGTATGTCTTCCCCCATGACTTAGGTAATTTTGCTGTCGTCAGTACCGCAATATAGAGTTCTAATAATTGCATTTCTAATTTTTCTTGGAGCATTTTATACAGTTCCCCTGGGAGACCATCCATTCCCGGTGTCTTATTGTTTTTCTGTTTCAGGATTGCCTCTTGCAGTTCTCTTAATGTTATTTCCCTGTTTATCTCTTCTTTATCCTCTTCCAGGATCACAGGTAGCCCTTTTCCTTCTAAGTAATGTTTGATATTTCCCTTTGGTATGTCTAATTCCTCAAAAAACCTTTTAACAATATGTTTTTTCTTTTCAGTTTGATGTTGTAGCATACCATCAACATCCTTCAATTGTTGGATTGCTCTTTTTTCTTTTTCTTTCTTAAGTCTATAAGCTAGCCACCTTCCCGGCTTATTCGCATGTTCAAAATAATTCTGTTTTATTTTTTTCATGTCCTGTAGCCATTCATCTTGTGCTAACATATTCAATTTATGTCTAATGATTATCCTCTCCATATTTGCTGTCTTATTATGTTGTGTTTTTTCTAGTGTTTTTTCTAACTCCTTAAGAGTATCTAGTAGTTTAAATTGTTCTCCTTTTTTCCCCTTATATCTACGTTATTATATGAAATTGCTAGGCCCCTGATATATGCTTTAGTCGTGTCCTGTAGGTTTGGAATTAATTTTTGTTGTTTTTTGTTTTCCTTCAGAAAGAACTCCAATTCTTTTTCCATCATCTTAACACGTTCTTTTTCTTTTAGGATCTCCTTGTTTAGCATCCATCTTCTTTTTTTTCTAATCCTTTCCAAATTATTTTAATGGGATTATGGTCCACCCATGTGTCAGATTCAATTTATATTTCTTTTATATTATGTTCCATTTCCCCATGTGTCCATAACATATCCAATCTTGACCATGATGTATGTGGTGCTGAATAGTAAGTATACTGTTTTTTATCTGAATTTCTTTCTCTCCACATATTTTTTAATCCTAATTCTTCCGCCATTTGATA